AGGAGTCTAGGGGTTGGCAAGAGGTTCCCAAGAACTATGTCCCCCTAGTTTTGTTTCTGTTTTCTGCTTTGCAGGGATTCTTTGAGAGTATAGTCTCCGGCTTTCCCCTGTCACGGGGGTCATGTGGTGGGTGGGTGACAACACGAAGGTGTGTCGAATCAGGGTGTGATACCATCGCGGGAATGTTGGTACAAAGGGGGCCCGGTATAGTGCAGGTAAAATCTCTGGACACAGACAGCGCCCTCAATAGTGGAGGTCCTGCACTATTGAAGGCGGTCCCGCTATAGTGCAGGTTGGGCATCGCGGTGCCCCGCAATAGTGCAGGTTGGACACACACACACACGAAGACCAACACATCAATCAAGGAGGCAATCGTGGAAGGGAGCAAGAGCTTCGAGCCAGATGACCTTCACCACAAGAAACGACGCAGGGCCACAGAGAAGAACTGCCGAAAAAAAATGCTGTGCAAATGATGATGAGAATGATGATGGTGGTGAAGCAAGGAGGAGGATGATGGTGAAAACACTCCAAAACGAACTAGAGTACAAGGTCGCAGCCTTGGTAGACGCGTGCAGCTTTCTTCTGTTGCTACCGTTTCTGTCTTTCATTCGGAGCATAGCTTAGTCTCCCCCATGCTGCCCCCTCACGGGGTTCCCCCGTCTTGTGTTTTTGCCCGCACTGAGACTGACGTATTTTCATTGCTCAGCCGCTTAGCGCGGTCGATGCTAAGAATAAAGGCACACACAACCCGTCTAGATCTACCCTCCTTACTCTACTTATTCAACGAATGAATGGTGGTCTTGGCAAAGGCACCAATCGACTCATCGTTGCTATCGCCAACCACTTGGCGCACGAAGCTTTTTGCCGGGGGAATTTTGACGACGAAAGAGCCCTAGTTCGCCTGAAAGCTTTTCATACTAACAGAATTCGGAGACGGTATACCTTCGAGCTAGCTCATTTTCTGCGACCTCGCGATGTGTTAAAACGTCATGGGCTACATTTTCTGCGACCTCGCGATGTGTTAAAACGTCATGGGCTACTGATCGACCGACTTCCACCAGGGCCAATCGGTTGGGATCTCTGCGACAACGATAGCAATGAGGGTAATTCTTTTAGGAGTGACGGAGACGAAGTAAAGGCAAAGGGAAGAACGGAGGACGAAGACGACGATGGAGGAGGAAAACATGGAGGAGTGGAAGAGAGCAAAGGGTTTGAGCCAGATGGCCTTCCCCAAAACAAATAACGTAGGGTTAGGGAACAACTGCCCAGAGATTCTTGTCAAAATGAGGATCAGAATGATGGTAGCGAAAACAAGGAGGCTAGAGTAATGGTGAAAGTACTCCTAAACGAACTAGAGTACAAGGTAATAGCCTTCGTAGACGCGTCCAGTTTTTCTGTTGCTGCTGTTTCTGTCTTTGACCCGAAGGATAATTTAGCCTCCCCCATGCTGCCCCCTCACGGGGTCCCAGTTCATGGCAGATAGAAGTGTTTTTGTGTTTTCAACCGCACTAAGACTGACGTCTTTTCATTGATCAGCCGGTTAGCGCAGTCGATGCTAACAACAAAAAAAAACACACACACACACGCGGACAGCGAACAAAAGCAACAAAGAAACGAGGGTACACGTGCTGCTGCAGACCCGACGACCTCTACGCCGCACCATGCCTTGCGCGGACGGTGATCTGGCGATGATAGCAGCGCATTCCTCTAAGCGGGTGCGCCAGCCAGACATGAGGGGTTTTCGCGTAGTGCGGGCGGGGAGTCAACTGTAGAAAGTAAGTGTTATTATTATTTTTTTTCTTGCAGTGCGCTTCCCGTCGTGGCTCTGTTTTCTTTTTTTGTCTATTTTTTCTTGCAACATCGAAGGGACTGAGATTTAGCTTCGTTAACTACGTATCAACGTAGAAGGGTTGGTTCGCGCGACAGCAGTTCAAGGTGTGCAGTACAGCACGAGTGCTGAGGCAGGAAGAAAATGACGGTGGAACATGCAAGCAATTTTTCTACAACATCTCTGTGTGTGCGACAGGGGGGAACCATAACGCGTCGCGAGACAGCCTGCCCACGCTAGGACAGGGCCCAGTAGCCCAGTACTACTGCAATTCGATCCATTTCGTACCCAGTGAGCCCCGCAAAGAGTGAGCGCCACACCATGAAGTCAAACATCTCCTCAACCTGCACTATTGAGGGATATTCGAAACCTCAAAAGTGCCGAACCTGCACTATTGAGGCTCTCTTCGGAGTAGTGCAGGTGCCTGCTTAAAGGTGCAGGTAAAATCTCTGGACACACCCCTGCACTATACTGCCCCCCCCTCTGTATCGAGCTTGCACGATAGGTGGCTTTGAGGGGGTATGGCATGGTACTCCCGTTCACTACACCGTCTACAGCACCGTACCCCAACACGTTCCACATTGCCTACCGACGTCTCTTTATCGGTTCCCAACAGAGAAAAGCTCTTTCGGGGCACCATGTTTCTGTGTATGTATACGGTAGTTCACTTTGGGGTTTTATGCAGGGTATTTGTAAGGAGTGAGGACGCTTCGCGGCGTACCGCTTCGCGGTCGCCGCTAAGCTCGTAGGTTGTATGGCGATGGCAAGTGTGTGCGGGTTGAGTTTTGAAATGAGAGGAACGAAGAAGAGGTGTTGTAGTGAAAATAACGGAGTAGTGTTGTTAACAGGAAATGTTGTTTGTTCTCATTAATTGTTCGAGAGCGGAGACGCACAATGAATAAAATTAAGAGTGATGCGGCGGCCGGAGGGCAGAATGTTTAATTATGAGATTAGATTGTAGAAACGAAGGGTCGCTTCTCTCTCCCTTTCCCCCTCTCCCATGTGTCGTGTGTGTTCTGTAGCACCCCTCCCTGAACGAGACGTCACAGACAGCCGAATAAATTTTGCTGTCAGGGTGTGGTCTTGGTAGTAGTGCAGCCGTCGGTGGTGAGAACCAGGGTTTGTCGAGTACTACCGGAGGCGAGCAAAGCAGCAACGCAAATCTGATATGATTAATCTCAGGCGTGCCATGAAACTTGTTTAGAGGTACCGGTCCCTGTCATGCCGATCTTCAAAGGTCGTGTAGTGATATCGGATTCAGCAGTTTATCTGGACAATCGTACCACCCCGGTGGCGGTTTTCTTGGGGCTGTGGGTTTTCATCACCATCGTCACCGTCTATACGCAGCCGAAGCGGCCAGAAAAGCAACACACACACGCACACCAATGTCTAAACCTCCGCCTTTTTCATATGCGTTGACTTGTATTCGGTATGTGAAGAATCAAGGGCGACCCAAGGTGCGCTACTTGCTAAATACCAAGCACGGTAGATGTCAACTGCTATTATTGTAGCCTGCTGTACGCCTTTGCCGCTTTGTGAACACTCGGTGACACGATGAATTGTTGGTGGCAGCTAAACCCACCGACCGATAGGGAGGACGTGTTTCACAGCGATACGGAGTGGTCCCTTCGCCATCTGCAGTGCTGGAGTGCCGAGGTACCTCGAACGTTAGTTCAAGTGTGTTGCCAAGGTTCCTAACCGCAGTGTTCGAGTTTGTTCTGTTTTTCTGCTTTGCAGGGTTAATTTGTGAGTACGGTCTTCGCTTATACCTAGCGCGGTAGTCCATGGTAGGTCTGTGGCAACTAGGGTGTGAGGAAACCAGGGGTGTGGGGCGTTAGTAGAGGAATGAGAGCGTGGTAGAGGCACCGATAGGCGGCAGGTCCATATCAGGACCATGATATAGAGCGATATGGGAATTTGGTTGGTGTAATCGGGTTTGTCTTTTCGCTGTGGTTTGTGACGCAACAGATGGAGCACGGTAATCGTGAATAATGAGATCAACAAAGTAGGAACAAATGAATCGTGTGTCAATTTACACCCATACCGTCTTGTGGGCCCCTGGTGGATCCACGGATCGCCAATCATGCTCTCTCTGTTGCATGACGGCCCTACCCAATATATCATAGCGATCGATGGGATCCTTGTGGATCGCCCATGAATGGTCCACGGGAAGCAACGTAGGATTTTCCATGCTCCGACCATAGAGAGCATCAAGGCTTCACCATGAATATACGTGTACGTGCGCACGTACGTTCAGGTGACCAAACGGCGCCACTCCTGTATGTTGCCTCGTGCCTACGTGAGGGTTTCTTCAAACAGACGCATTCGCGACAACGTTGCACCAGCCATTCGAAAACGCCTGTTCATTTAGCGGGCTACGGCTGTGGCTACAGGTGTAGCGCCTGTGTTGCATCTTTTGGGTCAATGGAGCGTAATGCCTCAACCTTGATCAGCATCCATGAACCAACAAAATGTATGCTTGTTTTCCGTGGACTGGCTGACTTTACGTGATGAAGCGCTCCGCGACAAGCATCGCACGGACTACGGAATGTTTTCTCGCTCAACTTCACAAGCACGCACACTAGGCTGCATCCCATTCCCGCCCCACGCCACCATCAATCCTCAATATCTGCACTGCCACCTCCCCGGCATGCATTTGAACCCACATACCACAGGAGACCACGGAGAACGACGACAAATCAGGAACCACCCCATAGTGTTCGTGTTGGGTGACCGTCTCGCCGCCCGATCCCTGCGTACCGACAACGTGTTACCCACTCCCGCTGATTTCGCCGTCTTTCCAAACATCAATAATATTCTTCAAATTTTATCCCGACTACTGGTTGACAGCACCCGTCTCAGGACAGATACGTGACTACTCAGCCATGAAAAATCACATATGTATGGGATTCTTGTCGGAAGGCAACCATTTTCTAACGACCTTCCGAAAGAGTGCCTGAAGAATGCCTGAACTTGGCCGGCCCTTCATACTTCCATGCCAAACTCGATTCGAATCGCTTCCAATTGATTTCATGTTCCTGAGGGCGCGAAAATTTGAATGCAATCTCCACACTCCTCGGATGTTACTGCTGAGGCACTACATGTGTCCCATACGCCGTGATGTGATCACGTTGAAGTGACCAGTTCAAAGTACATGATCTCGAACGAGAGAAAATAAACTTGGCGAGGGTTTTAGCTCCAAAGGGCGACTCTTATGCAGATGTCCACTTGATGATCCAGGGGTGCTGTGGCACCATCTCTAGCGGGAGACGGGCGGACGCTTTCTTGCGGATGAGTCGGCCAATCAAATCTCGGGCTTCCGAAGACACGTGCTGTGCGGGCCGCCCGAGGAACAAGGAGAGAGAAAAAACGGATGCGATTGCCTTGATCAGGCTAGGCTGACTGCCGTAGGCATGCCGACAATGCACGCAGCTTTACTTTGACAGCGCGTCGCCGAGAAATCCTTGAGGTCACAGTGATCAATGCTATGAGTGCTTCATCTAGCGTATGGCACGTTTTTCCCGCAGTATTGCATCGCCGCTTACGATTTTTGTCGAAAGGATGTGGACAGAATGAGAGATTAACCTCATACCCAGAAGAATGCTGGGTGGGCGACATGCTAACGCCTGGCCAATGTAGCTGTTGTAAAAAACGTTCACGTGGATGGAGATAGCCCTGCTGCACGAGTATCGAAACGCTTCGTCATCAACTCCACGCCGTAAACAAGGCACGCGAAAAAATTCATTGAGATGCCACAACCGCTGTTAAAACAAACTTGCTCAACCCGCGTGAACCAATTACTTCGAAACCGTATGAAAAGAAAGTGTACGCAACTCTCCAAAGGAAATAGACGCTCACCTTGTAGATGCTCAACTTGACTTACTATATGTCTACCGCAAGCGGCAGGTTCTTTCGACACACAGTTTCAACATCCGGACGCGTAGCCAGCAGATTTACATATTATATGACAATATACCGAAGGCCGAACTCGAAGATGCTGTTGCCGTATTCCAGAAGATACCAATGTCGTCGTCTTGAACGAAAATATGCAAAATCTCGCCATATCGACGGCGAGTATTTCGTACGAACGCCGACGTTGATGAGACTCCCGCCTCTAGGCGCAAAAGCAAGTGGATAGTTCGTGACGGTGGGAGTAGCCGTACGTGAATTCAACGGACTAATCTAGGTCTCTTTATTTTGAGTTTAGGAAGTCTTGGGTGTTTGAAAATTTCTCACAGCAGGGTATTGGAGGTCGACGCTGATGATCCGCCTGTAGGTGGCGCTGTGGCCCTGGGAATCAAACGGCGGGGTGCCGACGAGAAGCTCGTACATGAGCACGCCCAGGGCCCAGATATCCACGGACTCGTTGTGGTCCTACAGTCCAAGCCACACAGATCGAGCGGTTACTTCGAGACAGATGTTGGTCACAACGTACAAACGAAGAAGATCAATATACAAGCGAGGCAGATAGATACCTTCTCGGGGGGGGGTGGGTGATTAACGGCCAACTAAGCAATGCAAGCGTGTCCCCGCTCCCAAGCCCGGCGCGCCGCCCAACACGAACAGATTATTGCCCTCAGCCCGTCTCTCAACACAGGGAGATCTACTCTACCTGTTGTGGGAAAGAACACGGTATCACGAGTGGATCAAGGTAGTATCGCAATCGACGAAGGACATTAGAACTGAGCACCGAGAATGCTCGAGTGCAGCCCGTCAAAGTCATAACGATGGGTTTCCTTGCCGTTCCTACCACCCACAGCTCTTCTTCCTCCGGGGGCTTTCACCGGTGCGCCAAAACAGCAAAATTATAACCGAAAGTGCTAAATGAAGGCTTTGCTTCTGCTCTCGGCTATTGCATGTGCTTTTAATGGGCACACGATTGGCACGGCACGTAGTAATTAGACTATTGTTGGGCAACGGCGCACCTTCCCCTCCACCATCTCCGGGGGCAGGTAGTCGAGGGTGCCGCAGAACGTCTGGCGCCTATTGGACGGGGCGTGCACCGACCACCCGAAGTCCGCGATCTTCAGCTGAGTGTGCACATTGTTTTTTTTAAAGTGGTAGCGATGGCAATGGATACCGCGGGAAAAGAGAAGGCCAGCTCGCCCAGTATTATTGAGGACGCACGCAAGAATAATTGGGAGAACATGTCGCAAGGTGTCTGTTGCACAATGACATCAACACCACCACTCCCGCTGGGCGAGGTGCACTCCGGGATCACAATCTGTTCCAAAAACAAGAACTTCGGGTGGTCTGTCGCACCCATATGTTGGCCACGCATAGAAGCTATTACCGTGAAATCGTGGTTTCACCAATACGGAGGAGGAAAGTGACGGCCAAGCGGTCCGAGGTGTGATCACATCATCAACAAGAACAACACCTGACGGGACGACGCCTTATTGACAGCTTATTCCAAGGCGCTCACCGGAACTTAACAAAAACGTTGTTCGTCCTGACTAACATCTTATCGGAGTTGAGCTTTGCGGGTTACTACCAAAACGGAGCACAGTTATTTCGTGGAGAGCGTTTCGACCAACTGAACGCCAAGCCGACCGCAACTAAAAAGCACAAAAAGCTGGGACCTTGTCGACTGCAATTGTTCTGACCTCTCCGTTGTGACCGACCAGAAGGTTCTCGGGTTTGAGATCGCGGTGGATCACGTGTTTTGAGTGGCAGTAGCTCAGAGCATCGGCCACTTCCTTCACGTACACAGCCGCCCGCCGCTCGCTAAAAATTTGAAGAAAAACAGAGAAACGTCGGTGAGAATATTAATATTGTAGTGGAGAAGCCCTTCCCGTAGGGCAGCGCGCCGACGGCTCAATGGACACCCCATAAACTACAGTAGTCCTATGGGTGTTGCATTGTTGTTGTGACGATCTGTTGTTGGTGTCCTTCAGCTCAAGCGCAGGATGCTGAATGGAGGAATCGAATAATACTCGTGGCGTTTGCGGCAATCAAATGCATCGTATTTTTCTTCTTACTGTTGCAAAGGCGAGGGTGAAGAATTTCATATACAGGCGCGTGGAGGATAACATCCACGATCGTGTTACAGCGAGCACCGACACCGGCAAAGGCAAGGCAACATATATCGAGATATAACGGTGAAAACAATCAGCGTCCAACCATACTCTCCCTACAATGCCCCAGCAACTGGCCGTCACAAACGAAACATGTGGAGTGGTTAACTTCAGAGAACTGCGACATAAAGGCGTGGTCTTGCCATGATGACTGTGTTGAGTCAACATGCTTAAAATTTCCGGGGATGTCCTCGGTGTAGAACCGCCCCACGGTGCGAATACTTTTATTTTTGACATGGTCACGGTCCGGTACGGTGCGGTGTTGGTCGCCCCGATATTTCACCGTGCGATGCCGTGCGGTTTCTTGAACTTGGAAATTTACGTGGCAGGGCGGGGCGGTTTCCTCGCCGCTCGGTGTTTTCACGGCGATGTATTTTCTGCTCCGTGACAAAAACAGCGCGAACCGCGGTCCTGGTGGCGATACCCCGTCGAAAAAAACCGCAAAAATGTTACGGTTTTCTACCGCAAATGGACGAAGTACCAACAAATTCTTGGAATGCGTGAGGTCTAGCTATCCTGTGGTCCATCCATCAAGAGTAGAATTGTGTGCACATTGTGCTTAATATGGAGGCAACCAATCACAAACCCCGCGGTCTGGTGGCAAGAACTCCCCAAACACAAGAAGAGCTATTGTTTCGTTAGCCGAAAGTTCCTTCAGCACGCATCAACGGCAGGAGCTACATCTTCATGTACCTTCACTGCTGTAGGAAATCTAGCTATACAATTTGTTCTGGCAGCACCAGGCGGCTCATGTTCCGAACCCCATATCCGTCCCTGCTACACTCAGGTCAGAGCCGACCTAGGCACCCCCTTTTGCTCTCCCACGCTAGCAGTTTGGACACATGCAGCCTTTGCCTCTCCTGGTGTGCCTCTACATGAAAAAATCATGGCTTCTATGCGTTATTCATCGCGGTTTTGGCGACAGAGTAGGACAAACCGCAGCGGTTCGTTCTGAACCCCCACGGCGCCGGGCGGTCCAGGTTTCTTGTCTCGAACCGTGCTAGTGCGGTGCGGTACGGTGCGGTACAGCACAGCACCGCAAAATACCCCACTGCACCGCACAGAATAAACCAAACGCACCGTGAACACCCCTGGAAAATGCCAATGTACACCACCAACAGCGTCTTCCGGTTTCCTCAATAGAGCAACGACGAGAGAAACAGCAACGAAAATTGGCGCAGAACGATCGGCGTAGTGCTATGAGCGAGAGTGTCTTGTATCCAAGCCGCCGAAGGAAACAGTAGGTGAATAAACACAAAAAAAAAACAAAAATCGTTTGTCCTTACCTGAAATGGCCCACGTCAACCAACGACTTGTACAGCTCTCCGCCGCTGGCCAGCTCTAGGACAAGATAGATCCTCTTGTGATCGTAGAAGAACGCCAACCTGAAGTTTCCATCGAAGTCGATGTAACAGCCAAGATAGAGCTCACTAATTAGTGCACAATCTAAACATGTAATCCAGCCTGGAAAGGCCGACAATATTCCCGCGGTAGCATTCAATCGTGAGCTCAAATACACAAGAGCTGGCGGGTGGGATACAACAGGCAACAGCAACCGCGTTTCACGTAGGAAACCTGACGTGACCACGAGAAAATAGCCAACCTGTGCCCACGAAAGGTCAATCCACCGCCATGTTGACGACTGCGACAGCGCAAGAGAGTGAGACAGGGAAATAATCAACAAATCTTCCTGCTGCCCGTTTCTTCGGATATTCTGGTCGTGGGCATCACTTGCAGCGCGACGTTACCGTGATACAACACGCAGAAAGGACATATTTTGGCTTGGTTCAATGCCACCACGTGCTACCCTGACACTCACATACGAAGGATGTTGCGGTGTCGGAGGTGCGATTGAATCTCGATCTCCCGTCGCAGCTGGTGCTCCACGCCGGACTTGGACAGCTGCTTCTTTTGCAGAACCTGCAATATATGAAAAAAAGGTGATGGGTAGATATCACACAGCAGACGAGGGGCATCAGGCAGATACACCCATTCCCGAATGAAACTAGTTCGTGCATACGCTTCTTCTCCTGCAGAAGCTGTGATAAGTCCAAGGGATGATTGATAGCATACGACGGTTGAAGCAGCATAGTCCCAAGTGAGATTGACTCGTGCATGCGCCGCGAGCAATGTTCAACCTGGCCCAAATAACAGTGAAGATAGATCGGGCCAGTTCACACCGTCGAATGTACACCTAGACTACGCCACCCTATGGTTCTCTACATTTCGACCCACGCCGAACAGAAACAGGCTTGTTCAAGCAAATAGTTAGAATATGTGCACAGGCCTTCATTGCGACGACGTAGCCTGAGCGCCTCTCCCTCGCCATGTACACCTTCCCGAATTTCCCTTGGCCAAGGCGCCTCCCAATTTCGAAGTCATTGAGCGTCCACCCCCTCCCCTTCTGCCTGCCGCCGCCCTTTGCACTTCCAGGCTTGTCCTGGAGGGTATCAATGCCCAGAACAAGGAAGGCGTGAGTTAGTACCACAGCAACAAAGTAATTGCATATTGTAGTCGACATCCGACCCGGGAGGGGACAGAGAACGGGGCTTTGAGTTTTTTTGCATCCGGTTGCGTGTCTGATAGATATGTAGAAGTTTCATCTTGGCAAACGGTTCAACAAACAGCGGTTTGGACTGCAGAAGTAGGTGTTTGTTTTGCGGTCACACGGCAATTCTCATTGAGAGAATCGAAGCGGGTGACTAAAACCGCCTTTAGTGCTGGTTGAGTTTTGGCAATAATTTGATTTTGATTCTTTGGGACTGCTGTTGCTGAAGCACGTTGATGTGAGACACATTCTCAGCATCGAGCCCATACTGACACTCTCTCTGAAATGAGAATATCCTAAACCTTGTCATTCAAGTGATCCCTCCAGAGGAGTCTCCCCTACAGTGGGCGGCCAATGCGTGCCATTCCCGGAGCCAGTGTACTCCTAAACACGTAGATTACCCGCTTTGGATCGGGCATTAAACGGCTAGGCGTTACTAACCTTAACCCCAGTAGTGTGGGACATTGCTCCAAAGTGGGTTCATCATGAGAGCACGACAGTGATGCAAAATGGCAATAAATCAGGCAAACCAGCCCACAGCTACACGTAGTTGCCAGGTAGCCATTTGTGATGGTTCCCAAGCTCTTAACACAGTTCCCAAGCTTTTACACAGCTGACGTGTTTGTGGCTCCAAGAATCCAGCGAACACCCACAAGCCTTCAACAAAGCGTCAAAAATCGGGTATACAACAGCAGTCTTCCTGCGACGGATCCGTGTGCCTGCACCATGTCAACCATCAGTCGTGTCATCATCGTTCTGGTGTGACAATGGCAGCGGAAATACTTGGGTGCTGTCCTACAAGTGTGGACGTAGGGTTTCCACCCTGGCTCTCGAACTACAATTTGCCCGATCATCACCTTGTTCGAGACCGGACAGCAGCCCTATACTTGGGTAACGATCATTATGACTGATGCAAGAACTTTGATTGAAGTTCAGGGGGAGAACCCGAACGTATATGGACTCTGACACACACCTGACAAAGTTGTACAACACATGTCGTGTGTCTCATGGATGATGAGCCTGTCCCCATGGGAAGCCCAAAGCCTATTCACGGGCATGGAAATAGACCATATGCAACGATCTTGACCTATTGCTCCGCCGAGATCTAGAGGCCTACAAGCAGCATGGCTAAACTACAGAGTTGACAGACCTGAACGTGTTGCAGGCAAAGCCCCGCAGGGGGGCGGACCTCTGCTGACATGCAGAGCAATCTGAATGCCGATGGATTCTAAGAGAGCACCGCAGAGATAGTAAGAGGTGCCCCCATGTGCCACTGCAAACCACGTAAGTACTGTAGTGTGTGAGGATAGCAGCGTCCAGAGTGCTGTACATTACAGCAGTACCGCTGGTACTGTAGTTCAACAGCAGCTTTCGGGCCTGGAGAGTTGTTTTCTCCGGAGTACGTGTCGGGTGCCTCGCGCCTACCCCCTGGTTGTAGAGCATTCTCCCGAGTAGCGGGGCGCGCCGGCGTGTCAAAAGTGTCGCCGTTTGGGCATCATTCTCACGCAGGGCGATCTGCTCGTATGCAACTTACCGCTGTTGACATTTTGTATCTGGTGTGAATCCTGTTGATCCTGCAAATCTTCGAGAGCTCCAGTTTGCAAGGCCTTCCTATTGTTAGAGTGCTCTAGCCTCGCCCGTGAGGAAAAGCAAGACTCCAAGCTTTGGATTCAAAAGAAGGAATGGGTTTGCTCGTGCTCCACAAGCGTGTGCCGACGGTGTGTTGTGCCGACACTGCTGCGTACATAGTCTACAGAGAACGGCCAGGGGCGGCCATCGCTGGGTGGTTCTCGTAACTGTTCGGGAATAAAGGCGGCGGAACCATCAGCGGCGTAACATCGAATACGCAAATGGGTGTTGAGCTCCCCTCCATCTCCTGCTGCTCTACGACATGCCGGCCCATCTGTGTACCTGTCGAGACTAGTACCGGAGCTCCGTACAGGAGAGCACCAGGGAGCGGGGGGACGTTCTACCGTAGCATCGCCGGTCTCCAGGCCTCAATCAAGGGCGGCGGACAGCAAGGTCGGAGGATACCCTGTATCTTTCTGCCAACGCGACGGGTGCGGGGTTAGGGAGCGCTCTAAAGCAGCAGCCGGGATGACCTAGAGCCAAAGAACGCTCACGGAAACTGCTCATGCATCTGCTTCAGCCGTACTAAGCACTTCAAAGTCAGAAACCTGAAGCATCTACATCTGGACTAATTGTCTCCCTTTTGTGGCGCGTTCTATTTCGCTGGTGGTTCCTCGCAATAGCATCAGCGGCGACGGCGGACGCTCGGATCCAGATCAAAACGTGTCGAGTTTGTCGCCAGGGAGCGGTGCGCAGATCCGTGCGTGAGCATTATGGGCCGTGGTCGCAAGGTGAGTCCATCTACGACCGAGTCAGCAAAAGCGTATCGAATGCAACATCTTATACTGTAGTTTGTCCTCAACTGAGCCCCCATGAATGAGACTATGCAGTGTAGTGTAGAGTTTATTCAAGGCCGGTGGCCCTGTTGAAGGCCGATGAAATCTCTTGGCACAGATGGAAAATTCATGTTGTCTCATACTCTGAATAGTTCCAGGTGCCCGATATAAGGCCAGCGTTTTCCCTTTGATCATGGAGGCCTTAAACAGGGACATCTACTGTACATGAAAATCCGCGAGCTCCAATTATTGTCTAGATTGTGCAATAAACGAAACAACGAACAGCAGCACATGTAGACAACGCTCGAGATTTCGAGGACTGTTCTCATAACCAACCAGATCCAAGACCACAACTACACAAGATGAGACACCCCCAGCAGAATAGAGCGCCCGGTACTCATAATCTCAAGCACGGAGCCGACATACTATAATACCCGGGTTACGTAAGACATCACCCCCCCCCACAAGGAGCATGTAACCAGGGCCGATGTTACCATCGCCCTGGTGACGGCGAAAAGCACATACAAGATGACCCAGTAGGGAACATGAGCATCAAATCCTCTGAGTGCGGGTGAACCATCCCGAATTCGATGCAAATCATCGAATTGTTGTTTATGTCTCCCCCGCCTTCTTGGCGTTTTCACTTTTGTGCAAGGTGGTGGCAGTGATGGATAAATGGTTTTTCACTACATGGCAACTCGTACCTTCTTTCATGGCAATTCGTACTTTATTTCACTGTTGCCGACAGAGCGCTGTCGGCTTCCGTCGCCGGGGTCATGTGATTATCACCTCCCCTTTGCCATCACCCCCCCCCCACTCGGTGTTTGCCATCGGGATTGGGTTTTCGTCGCTTGGCAACGACGTTGTAAAACAAGCCAATTCACTTCGTGAACTCGGCAACCAGGTTACCGTTTTTTTTTTTACCTCGGTTTGTTTTTTTGGCGGTAACCATAATGGTGGTCGAGTAGATCATGTTGTGCGGGGTCGAGAAACCTCACTCCGCGCAACGGGGGATGATCGCACCACGTTGTGTTAAAATGGTCAAGCTTCCTCGAGGCAGTTACACAGTGCTTACAACTGTCTCTGGAAGTGAAAGCACCAGAAAATAAATTAAGTCATACGTAGCTGTCATCCGTACGCAAGGAAGTAAGCACAAGATGCCGAACACCCTTAGCAGGATGCAGCTCACCCTTCATGCGACTCGCCAAATACCTCACGGCGCTTCGCGCTTGGTGATGTGAGAGCCTGGTCCGGTGAGAACCCGGCGTGCTCCGTCCC